CTTGGCTTCCTCATCCTTTATGTTCCTCTAGCTTGTTGTTTTTGTCATTTTCTCTTTCACACCCTCGATAACACCCATCTTTTTTATTCTTTTTTTCTTTCCTTTTTCTCCCTAACCTTCTATCTCTATCTCATTTTCTCTCTCTTTCTTTCTGCAGAGAAAGAGAGCCAATGTCTATTTCGCACACTTTTACGCTCAATCTCTCGGTAGCTCAATGATCTGTTCTTGTTTCTCTTCGCCAATTTCTATCGATGATACGTTTCGTCGGTATTTTTCCATTGTGTATCGTTAATCAACTGTTTCTCTTCGATTCACTGAAATAGCGTTTCATTTCATCATCAGTCCGTTGTGATTTACCGAAACGAAAATGAACCTGATTAGCTTTCTTCTCCAAATTTGTACGGCTTAAATACATACGCCTTGGTGTGTGGGCTTTTTGGAACCTAATTTAATGCATTTCCATCAATCTCATTTCGATTTAACCGTCGAAATTCTCCATTTTTTTAATAATGTTTCGCCTATCTCTCATTCTTCACCGTTGTCGTTCATCTTCAATGGGAGTTCTTATATCAAATGAATGCCAAAAATGCGCGTCATTGACATAAGTAAAAATGTTGAACACAGTGATCAAAATATAGAGAAAACAAGGGCGAAATAGAAGGAGCCAGAGTACAAGAAAGGGAAAAGAAGAAAGAGAAGGAGAGAGAGCGTGAGCGTGAGCTCTAGAATTAAGTATACAAAAGCGGATTTGAAATGTACAGATTTTTATCAGTCACGCAGTATATGTGTGTGTGTGTGCAAAGGAGCTGAGCGCTTAGTTTGTGAGTCAATTTTTCGTCAATTTTGTGTCGTAAAATTGTATGAGTGCAGAAGAGTGAATCAGTGCGATTGAGATTGAGAGTGTGCGAGTGTGAGTTCGTTGAGCGAATGAAATAGCAAATGAGACTTTAAGAGAAGTTGACGCTTAAGCTTCTTATCAAAATATATGTACCAATTTCACTAAACAGTAAATAAGAATTTCGCCTTGTTCATGGGTGCAGAGATAAAGAAAATGTGTTCCATTCTCATCCGGAGTGAATTTTTCTCGCGAACAATGCACACTACACTTTATTTGGTCTATCACGCGTTCAATGTACGTGAACATTGCCTTTTCCTACCTGCCACTTGCCACATTGCATTTGCAATGCCAGCAGAGATAGAGCAAGTAACATTTACACAGCGCGCTCGCTCAGTTTCCGTTTCGTTCATTTCATTCGCATATGTTCATTTATTTTTCTAACGATAGTGATTAATCAAAATAGCACCCGAGCTGCCTTGATGTGTGTGTACCGTGCCTGCTGCAAGACGAATGTACCGTTATTAACTTAATGCTTAACGAAGAAGAAACAACGATTTTTCTATTGTGCATGGCTATGTCAGTTCGGAATAGCAGGCGAACGCTATTTTTTACGCTTCGGGACGAAAAGAAAAAGTCAATTCTCAAGCGTTGCTCACACACATACATACTCATATATAAAAACTAGAAATAATGTAAATTGGAGATTTAGTCGATGGTAATGTGTTTTGCTGCTGAAGCAGGGTTCATAATATAATAATTTTAATGGGATAACAACAGATATACAGGCACAACATTCCAAATGAGGGTTGATCTCAATGGGATTCGTATGGGTCGCCACTTCGAATTTCCCTATGAATTTCCATCTTCTTTTTTTTGTTAGCACCACCCTTTAAATCCACTCAAAACTATTTCTTGATTAAAAGATTCATTCCCGTTTTTATCATTTTCGTTGGAAGCTCCTTATAAATCGGATTCTTTTTGCCACTACTCTTTCTTGAATGATGTAAACAGGCCTTAGAAAAAAACTCGCAGCTCGAAATCAACCGAAAAAATTCAATTTCCACATTTTTTCGTCGTCAGCACGCTAAGAATCCATCACAATGACAACCCTGTTCGTGTAGTCACGACACACACACGGGCACATTCAAAATAAAAAGATAAACAGAATGTTGTAATTCATTGCATTTGCAATAGTTTCTGCAGAGTTGTGCGCGGCATGCCTTCGTCCAAATGGAAGAAGGCAAAAGGAGACAAATTCACGAAAAATGTGAACGAATGGGTCTGTACGCAGAACAGCAACAACAGCGACAACGACAACGTTGACGATAGTGACGGCGACAAGCATGGCATAAGACGAAGTTGCCGGGCAAGACGAAATGAGTTGTAAGTAGAATGAAAAGAATTACATCGCAACGAAACGAATCGTTCGTTTGTGAAACGGTTACACTGAAACCAGAGAGTTAGTGTGCAGTTTTGTTGGATAGTTGAAATGGTTTATTAAATTTTCCTTGAGATAAATTGCAGCAGTTTATTTAAACAAAAGTTGGTATGTATGACGGCGCTCGTAAGTGGTGTGAGTTCGCACACACCCCGCCCGCCCACTCACATACACACCATCGATCGACCGTGCAGAAACAACTGCGACCAGCACAAAATGCAGAAGAACATATACACAGTACAAAATGGCATTGGAGCCAACATCACATTTTAGCCAGCATCAAATTCATGCCGTTGTGTGTGCCTTGAAGACAAATACAAGAACTTCAAAAATGTGAACGTTCCAAATATTCCCGGCGTGCAATGTACGAAAATCGAATAAAAAGAGCTCACAACAACAACAAAACGAATCGCAATGGCACCGAAACACACTCTGTGATCTATATATAAAATGAAAATTGGCCAATAAAAATTTGTTTGCAAGCAGTTTTTGACATTAGTCGTGATCGCATAAACAACAACAACTAGGATATAGTTCCACCATAAACTACAAGTTGTCGTTGTCGATTCCACATCTTTTTTTGGCTGCCATTGACTTACTTGCTACACACAAATGGACGTGATTGCTGCACTATTTCGTACGATTTTGCTAACAAGAAACGAAAACATCGCACACCATCCTCCTGAACTCTCTTCACCTTTTTCGCATTCAAATGGGCAATAATCGTAAGAACGATGAGACGAGAACGGAGAAAAGCCAATACAGATCATGAGATCTATGAAATGAGATTATAAAAAAAGAGATGGAAAATGCAAATAACATTTGCTCGTTGAAGCGCAACGACAATAAATTCCATGGCAGTCAAACGACCAACGACGACAAATCAATGCGAAATTTATTTTTATTGAATCAATGTCGAGACGAGCACCCAAAACCAATCACATACACATACAACGCGGGGGCAAGCATTCAATGGAACAGTCAAATCAATAAAAAATGAGATGCAATGAAATCGAAACGCGAATTTCACATAAAACACCAAACTACTGAAAATGAATGGCCGATTAAAATGTTTGTTGCTGGCCTTAACAGAAATCACAACTAACCGATAATAAATAAATCAAGAGTCGATTTTCACGATGACATATCTACCGATTTTTATTTATCTCTTCCTCTCTGTCGCTCTCTATCTCCCTCTCTTGCTTGCCGCTTCGATCGCATCAATTTGAATTTCATATTTTTAAGCTTTTTGGTGCTGACACCGCGTTCATCGAGGTTTTTTGGTGCTTGTGTGGGTTCAAAAACACTGATATTGAGCATCTCTTTAGAATATTCTTCAAAAGATTAATAAGAGCCTGTTTGGGCAGATTTTTGGGTGCACATCCAATGGTGTTATGAAATTCCACGATTTAATTTAGTTTTCAAAAAATCTGTTTCATATATTCAGCAGACTGAACACATTTTTTTCGCCTGGCATATTAATCAAACATTTTAATTGGAATTTGAGAAGTTTTGGTCTGTTATTGGCATTCTCGCACTTTTATTTTCATGATGAATCATATCGTCCTATTCACCGCCTCTCTTTCAATTACTTTGAATTTTACAATCCAATTAACGATTTGAATGGTCTCAAAAAAGCAAACACAGGAAAGAAAGACTCGAGAAACAGTGAAAAAAAAAGAATAAAGAGAAACACATACGTATTGATAAACGGCTGACTGCACAAATAAAAAAATCAAATATTGAAAAAAATGATGAGTACCCAGCCAAAATCCTGACCATAAACCAGACAATATATTGTACTAACTGGTCAATTGAGCTGACAGTATGTTAGCCAGCTAAATAGGCTAAAACAATAGTAGTTATTATACTAACGTACTGTCAGCTCAGTTTACTAGTTAGTTCAATATATTGTGTGCCATAAACCTTACTGTGGAAGCGATGTGACTTTCCTATACAAAGTCACTACTAAACTTTGTTCAAGGTATTGGCCCTCTATCAATGTTTCTGGTTACTAAGCAGTTGACATAACATCACATCTTGTCAACTGTCTGTGAATGATACAAACTCGTGTATTATTAGTTCGGAGAAAAATTGTTAGTGGTGCTCACATTGGAAAAAAGAAATTCGTTTGCTTCCATCCATTGCCATAAACCAAACAAAGTAAGCTTTAATTTTTTTTAATGTCATCTTGTTGATGCCTTTTACTGATTAAACGAACAAAAGAGTAAGAAAGTGCAAAAAGATTTCTCCCGTTCATTTTTAGTTTTTAGAATTTAGAATTTTATTGCTACTAATAAAACGTTTTCTTGTTTGTCGCAAATGCATTTATCGCATTACCTAGGTATTTTAGATCCAAAGTCGAAAAGTTATAATTAGGAACAATGCATAATAAAAATAGTTCGTAATTAGTCTGTCTTAATGCTTTCAAAATGGCTTCTTCTTGTTGTTTTCACATTTTATTTGTTGAAGTTGAATAACTTCAAATCTTCAAAGGAAATTTTCTTCAAATTCAGTCGTGAACACGTCTTCGTTAAGAAAACACCTTGTGAAGTTCAAGTGAATTCAATTTTGTACTTGGTTATCACAATATTTAGATGTTTTGTGCATTTGGTTAATTTTTTAAGTTGTGCCTTATATTAAATTGTTTGAGTCTCAAAAACTAAACTGAAAGCTTCCCTTTAAATTTTCGTCGAGAATCATATCATAAGAAACTGTTCGAATATGTCGGCCGATGATTGGATGCAAGAACTGGACAAAATGTTGACGAACATTGAACGCCAGGCGATGTCTTCGCTACGAAATATTAGTAACTGTTTCGAACAATCAGGTCAATCGTTCCACCAAGCACATCAGAAATATTGTCTAAAGCGCTCAATTGACAGGTAATTCATCCTTGAATTTTGTATTTTATGCCCTTCATTAATGATAATATCTTCTTTTCTTTAGATTAAATGAAGTTTATTCCAAATTTGAATGTGAATCGTCGTTCAGTTATCGTCAAAGTAGAAGTGTCGCTCCAATTTCAACCGACAATAACAACTCAAATGCAATTATTAAAATCAGCAATGATGAAGACTCAGATGAAAGACCTAGCACCAGTTCGCAACCATCCAAAGAGAATCCGTTTCGAAATGTTGATCGTGAGATTAAAACCGAGGATGATCATGACGAAAGCAATGAACAAGCTTTTGTCGGGGAGATACCCAATGTGGAAATTAAAGAAGAGGATATGGAAAGTGATGAGATTCCGATAGTTCGTGTTCCGGCCAATCAACTGACCCGTGCATATAAGATAGAGTCAAACTGCTCTGAACGTGTCAAAATCGAAAGTGACGAAGATCATAACAAAGAAAACATTGAAAATGTAGCGAAGCGTGTACGATCGAATTCTGCGAATATTTTAGATAAAATTGGTGACAACAACGAAACAAATGTATGTGAACCATACGGGAAGAAATCAGGAGTATCTCAGGGAAGAGTCGAATCGAAAGATGCAAGTTGCGAAATCAGTGAAGAAAATAACGCAAACAAGACGAACGAAGTGAACATTTCCAAAGCTGCTGTTGAAATGAATTTAGCAAGAAAAGTGAGAAGTGGTCAGTCGACACTTGAGAAGTGGTTTTCTCAAAAAAATAAAAGTAATGAAAACAAAGAGAAATCCAATAGAGAAATCGCTGGCCAAGCAGAGAAAAAGAAAACGGACGTTCAGAGATCCCACAAAAAGTTAGAAAAAATCTCGAAAATATCTAGTAATAGGAAAATTCACAGTCGAGTAAAACCACACGAATGTGGTCGATGTAAGAAGAGATTTACACATAAGAGAGATCTCACAATGCATATTCGAATTCACACTGGAGAAAAACCATATCAATGTGGTCAATGTATGAAGAGATTTAGTCGTCAGAGTCATCTCAATGTGCATATGAGGACTCATAAGGATAGTCTATTCCACTGCTCAGGGTGTCATCGTGGATTTTCACAAAATATTGAAAAAGAAGCACATGAAAGGGAGTGTAAACGACGTCGATATGAGTGCTATCTTTGCAACAGAGACGAAAATAAGAAGAAGTTTGCTATGGTTTTTTCAAAGAGTGCGGTAGAAATTCATATGAGAATACACACTGGAGAAAAACCATATAAATGTGATCGGTGCAAGAAGGGATTTATTCGTAAAAACAATCTCGCTGATCATTTGATGATACACACCGCAGAAAAACCATATAAATGTGATCAGTGTAAGAAGCGATATGGTCGTAAGGATCGTCTCGATCGGCATCGGAGGACTCACAAGGATAGTCTGTTCCACTGTTCAGGGTGTCATCGTGGATTTTCACAAAATATTGAAAAAGAAGCACACGAAAGAGACTGTGAACAACGTCGATATGAGTGCTATCTTTGCAACAGAGACGAAAATAAGAAAAAGTTTGTTACTCTTGCAAAGAATACACTAGAAACGCATATGAGAATACATACTGGAGCGAAACCGTATCAATGTGATCAGTGTAAGAAGCGATTCAGCAATAAGAGTGGTCTCAATGTGCATATTCCAATTCACACTGGAGAAAAACCATATCAATGTGATCAGTGCAAGAAACGATTTAGTAAAAAGGGTAGTCTTACTATGCATATTCGAAGTCACACTGGCGAAAAACCATATCAATGTGATCAATGTAAGAAACGATTTAGTCGTAAGGATTACCTCACTGGGCATATTCGAAGTCACACCGGAGAAAAACCATATCAATGTGATCAGTGCAAGCAACGATTTAGTAAAAAGAGTAATCTCAATATACATATGAAGACTCATAAGGATGTCACAGCGGATTTTCACAAAATATTGAAAAAGAAGCACATGGAAGAGAGTGTAACCATATAAATGTGATCAGTGTAAGAAGCGATTTAGCCATAGGAGTAGTCTCAAAACGCATATGAGGACTCATATTTTATCATAAGGATAGTTTGTTCCACTAACTTGGATTTTCAGAAAATATTGTAAAAGAAGCATTTGGAAAGGAGTATAAAAGTCTCTTAATAAAAAACCTCACCATCAGTGTAACTCAAAATAAGAAGAAATTTCTTGCTGTTTAAAGACTTGAGAGAAATGGAATCAACATAAATGTAAGATGTGCATCTAACTTGAGTTCGATCAAAGTTCCATCGAAAAGAATTAAAATCTAATAAATTGATAAGATAAATAGATAAGTTTTTTATATCTATATCTAGATATCTGAATATATAAATAAAGATACGTATCTAAAAAAACACTGGCGCTGGACATGCGTTATCATTTTCACTTTGAACATTTCTTGGAAGGTGTACGAAGATTCATCCACAATATGTTTACCATGCGTAATCGATAACGTTTAGTTACATCGCCTTCAGTTTGTGTAATCGACATTTCCCATATTATGACCATCACTTGTATATTATTTCAATAATAAAGTCCAATGATTTAGTAGGTCTTTCTCAAATTTGAGATTATTTGAATTATTTATATCACAAAACTAATGTCAGATTCAGTTTTCTCTTGAATACATTTTTTACTTTTCCGCACACACCTAGTGTTTAAGGGGAAAGTATTGCAATGGGTCACGTCAACGACACCTCAAAAACATTTGTTCTGGACGTTTCTGAGGTCAGCGAACCCGAATCACATAGACTTAAAAACTCAAAAATACGAGAAAACCGAATCCGAGGTTAGTTTTGAGATACAATCAATTTTTGATACAGTTTCCTTGAAAAAATCACGAAAAATTTGAATTTTTGTATGGGAGCCAAGTGTTTCAAATGTGAAATGTCTTTCGTTCATCATGAAAATGTGAAAAATCTTTTGCGAAAACTTTTGCTATTAAATTAAAGAATATTTCGATGCCAAGATTTGAACATATTTTTTGACCTCGAACTTAACGCCACTTGAAAGGCTTGAAAAATCGAACAAATATTATTTTGAACTAGCTTAATAGAATACGCATCTACCACCGTGCGGAAAAGTTCATCTTACTCCTGTAAGACTCTTTATTTAAATTTAGGATTTAAAAAAATCGACTCAATTATAATAATGTAAATGGATTCAGATCACCAAAACAAAGAGGAAAAAAAGCGTGGGCTATACAGCAAACTGATAAAGACTTTGATTTTAAGTCATATGGTACAAATCAACAGCTTTTATACCGATATAGCCATAATGAGCAATCAGAATCTGCAACAAGCAAGTGGTACTTTTTTAGTGTTTCATCGGTACAGTCACCAGCATGTAACATTTATCCACATAAAAATGTTGTCTAAATTTCAAAATACACAAAAAAATGTTTTAAAAATTAATTTTTTTTATTAAAAATATAGTCCATAAAATGGTTGGTCTTTTATTTCCATAAAATACAAGGATACCGGAACCGGTTTTTCAGTTATTGTTCTATTTCAGGTAGAAGTGGTGATTGTTTTGTAAGCAACAATTGATGGTGAATTGTCGAAAGTTTGAAAGCATTGAAATGGAGCTGTCGCATGAGCGCTTATTCCATTTCAATAACAGAATGTTCGATTTTACTTTGCTACCAACTGCCAAATGAATGAAATCGATTTTGTGTTCTGAACACTTTGGAAAGTTGATGCGTTCGTCGATGGAGAGAAAAAAATGGTCGATTGTGTGTAGTAAAATAAGGTTTGAAAGGTGTATATGTACACAATAACGACAAAACTCACATCGAATCGGCTTTATCTCTGTGTGTGCCGACAAAATCGCTTTTAGAAGATAGATAGACACCCAAAGAGAAATAGAGAGAGAGAAAAGGAAAGTAATGGTTTGTTTGGTATTCTGTTATTGATGAAAGGTAAGCATTTTGTTGTCAGTTTGTCGATTGCTTTTAAGCGAGACACAAAATTGCAAACGCAAGCGTTTACACGTACATTTTGCTCGTGGTGCTGTTATTGTTTTGAAGCATTTAGTAGGCGGTTTAATGAAGACAAGCATGGATAAGGAAGCACGATTATTGTGCGTATAACGATACTTTTGTAAATCGAAAAAAAAAATCCACTGGCTTCACACGAGCGAATGTTGGGATGAAAAGAGAAACAAAAAAAAAACGATTTTTTGGGAGTCATTGAATCAATCGTGTACAACGACGACGAGATACGCACAAAAATAAAGCACAATTTCAGACAATATTTCTCCCTTTTGTTCTCGCTCTGTCCTTCTCTTTCGTTCTCTCTCTAGCCCACCTCTTCTTCCAACTTTTTCATTCGATGCAAGCATTGGGAACAAACCCAAACACACACCATCGAGAAACAGTTAATGTTTTTTGATTCTCCTCTTGTACTATGTTTCAATTTATCTTGTATATTCATTTTGTCGTTTCGCTTGGTCGTTTTCCGATGGATACTCGCTTGTTCGTTATTTCAATGGAGTTTTCAGGACGAAACTTTTTCATTGGAAAAAATATCCCGTTTTATCAGTTGGTGGTGTGTATAGTAGAAAAAAGCAAATTACAGCAAGAAAAAGCTTTAGCTTCGGTTCGATTGTGGAAATGATTTTGGTTTGTTAGTTGTGTGTGTGTGTTGTCAATGAAATGTTTGTCATTCTGTGTTCAGGCGTTTTTCTTGTATTATTTTTTTCTTTCTGTGCATTCTTGCTTGTGCTCGCTCATTCTGGTATACACAACAAACAAAACATCGATATAAACTCATATGAATGCTTGTTGGAATGACGTTGAACGGAAAGTTGGCTTTCACAAGCACACATATTCATTTCCAACTTGATCGAATTTATTTATCTTCATTTGAGACTGTACGCGAGTATTTGCGTCACATAAAACTTTTGTCCTTTTTAAATAGTAAATACCGCACGTTTCATCTTTTCTAGATTTGGTATGTTGCTTTTTGAATGCATTTATGTGCGCCAACAACAACAAAACAAACAAACGTACAACATTAGTCGAACAATTTTTGATATCCATTTATCTTTATATAATCACTGAGCGTAGCACAAATGGAATAAAATTCGAAAAAGGGAACGAAGACGTACAGAGCGAACCGTCAAAAGTAAAGAAAGATGAAGCGACCGGGAGCAAAAAGTGGAATTATGGCAAAGAAAAATGATGAACCCAATACACACTCACATACACAAATAACATCAACAAATGGCAATGCACAACATAGATGAAAATAAAATGTTGCTGTTTCTCTCGTTACACGAAAAAAAAAAGTAGAAGACAACAGCAGAGCGAAAAAGACGACAAAAAAATGGCTGAACACGATGAGATGAGAAAAAAAGTCGAGCGCAAAAACTCGACAAAAATGCGTTTTCATTGCGAACTCACACAGTGAGCGAAATTCGTATTTCCGTGCTTTCTCTACCACAAACTTGCGCCCGACCGGCTGCACAAAACAGTTCGCTTGCTTCTGTTTTGCCACGCTCATAATTCTGCACAGTTTAAATATGCTTTTATTTCACTTTTTTCCACTGCTCATGAGACACACACACACAACAAAGCGAAATTTATTTAGCTGTCGCTTCTTCAACTTCGCCCATATTAACTTATTTTTCTTCATTCGCTCGATCGATTCGCGTTAACCAAGCCAATGTGTCTTTTGTGTGTGGCACACCAAGTTATTTCAAGAATTCAATTTCGATAAATTAAATAAGAAAAAATTGCTGTGGAACGCGCGCGCATTTATTTCGATGATGACGGTGGCGGCAGCGGTGGTAGTCAAGGAGGAAGCAATCGATTTTGTTGAACGTCGCACGCAATTTATCCGAAGCGGTTTGATATGTATTTTTTGGCACAATGAAAATTTCGCTTTGTCGTCATCGTCGTCGCAAACAACTGGAGTGGAAAACTTGGTCGCTATCGTTTCGGTTAGCTGAATGCTTACTTTTTTAATGGCATGCAATTAATTTTCAAGCATAATTTCATAATAAAACTAACTCATGGCAGATTCACCATCACTACCGCCAACGGCCACATCGCCGTCACACAATCCAGAATATTCCAAGATGAAACTTTGAACGAAGTCAAAAAGCTTAAAAACTATATTTGCACACACCATGTTGACGTTTTTCCGGCGAAACGGCGTAAATTGCCTAACGCCCAAGATTGATTGGAATTATGATGGGTTTTCTATGGTTTTTGATGTCTCACTGCTTCGAATATAATGGACGATAAAATGAATGCAAAAGCCTTGAAGTCAAGAGAGAAAGAAAGTGAGCAATTTTCATTCGATGCCAACGATGGCCGTCTAGACTTTGGTTATTTGATTGCAAAATACGGCCACGAGTTGTAGAGAAGGAGGACGATAAAAACCAAGAATAGATAGAAACAGAAAATAATAATAGAAAGATAGAGATGGAGAGAGAGAGAGCGGGGGGTGAGAAACAAAAAGAACGAGGTAAAGCAAAACGTTGATAATCATAAAATCGGTGCTTATGAAATTCATACGCACGCATAAAATCTTTTGGTGCAATTTGATACATACACAAACCCCACTTGAACCGTGGCTTTCGAAACTATAGCTCGATATAATTTGATATGAGACTATTGCCATGTGGTAAATTACCAACCCAAAAATTATCTCCAGCAAATGAATCCATTTTTTCTCGTTTTTTTGCTCTTGCACATTGTTTTGGATGCGGCGGATTTGGGGTGAAATTGAATTTCAGTTATAATAGCATTGAACTTGAGTAAATTTCATGAAATGTGTCCGCTCCGATGTAATCACATTGATGTAATATTCGTTGTCATCGGTCGACGGTTTTGTGTCACTTTTAATTTACGCCTAGCGTTAAATTGGCGATGATTCGGAGTGTGACAATCAATTTTTTTTTCGTCACTGCATGCTTCACTGTTACTGCGTGAGAAATCTCACTTTTGTGCCTATTTCATG